ACTGTATTTGATTCAAACGGAATTGATGTACATTTTCTCAATCGTCCGTCAATGCCTAATGTAACTAATATTCAACAAGTTGTTGAATCATTTAGTCTATATCCAGCTGGATTAACACCACTTACATCAGCTTTAAGACGAATTTTTCAGTTGGCAGCAAATCAATCTTGTAGTGATAAACGTTTACTTGTATTGGTATCTACCGATGGAACTTCAACAAATGGCAATGAAAATGTTGATATACAAAGTTTAGAAAATTTAATGCGCAATGAACGTCAAGCAAGTACAACATATGTAACATTTCTTGCTTGTACAGACAATGAATTAAATGTGAGTTATTTATCAAAATGGAATCGCACAATGACGAATGTTGAATTTATTGCTGATTATATAACTGAACGAGAAGGAGTACGTCGTACTCAAGGATATAAATATCCATTTTCATTTGGAGATTATGTTGTAAAAGCATTACTTAGTGCAGTTGGTTTATAAATGGATCTTTTGGATAAATCGGGAAATAATAATAATTTATAACGATGTTAATCTATTATTCACTTTACTTCACCTTTCGTCTTTTGTCAAATGAATTGATGAACCAAAAAAAAGTTCTTTTTCTTAAAAATAAATAAATGAATGTCATAAACTTGTTATAAAATGAACTAAACCTAGCTTTTCTTTATTGATTGTTAAAGATATTTTTGACTTATATCTTTGATTTATGAACATCTTTTGTTGAGTGTTCATGTAATTTTCTACTGACATAAGACAAATAGTTTTACCAATCAAGAGTAGTTTTAATAATGACGCTTTTGCTTACTATTTTTCAGAGCGATGAGAAATATTTTGACAAAAAAACTTTATATTAAGGCTTTAATACAAAATGTATTGAGAACTTCTGGTTCACTTAAAGGCTTTTCTATTAAAGCTCAAGACCTACGTCAGGATAACATAGTTTGTTTTATTTTTCAGAATTGAATTTCAATGATAAGAAATGCGCCTTGGAATATCTATTTTGCAGTGTGCTATAAGTAATGTGATTGATATTTTATGAAAGTAAAAAATTTCAATTCATACATGTTAGTGATACTAACAGTTCTCTATATTTGTGCACATATCAATATTGATGAAATGGAAGTGGACACTGGTATGAGTTATCAAGCTATCCAATGAACCAGATTTGGATATCTAAAACCAAGAAAAAATTATCTCTTGGAAAATAATCATCTTGCTGAATGAATCAGAAAAGCTCAAGAAGATTGAGCATAATTTGAATCAATAATATAGCAACTATGTAAAAGTAGTGATAACGGACGCATTCTACTTTTATGACAAACAAACAGGTCGTAAGTCGATAAATGCTGCCTGATAAGCAACATTAGACAAAACCATCTGCTGTACATCTATTCAGAGATAGATTGATATCAGTTACCAACCGATTTAGTACCGATACGCATGTCAGACCGAATCTGTCGGTGCATCCAACTGAAAGCCGCTAAGCCTCGAAAACACTACTTATTATCATACTCGACATAAAGAACACCATGTTCATCCATTATGTCAAACGAAAATCAGTTATTGATTGCAATTCTAAGATCAATAATCGTTTACAATTCTTTATCAATAAACTAGAAAATAAAGAACAGAATCGAATATTTTTGGTTATACAATTTTGTCAAACATAATCAAACAGATGAGTAAAACTGAGACATTTCCCTAGTGGATGCATTCATTCAAGAGAGTACTCACACTATAAAAAGCTGCGAAAACTCATGAGTAGTCGTTCGTTTTGAGGGTTGGTGTGGGTAGGTGTGGGTGTGGGTGTAGGTGTTGATCTTTTTACCCACACGCTGACCCACTCACGCCCACACCCTCAGAGGGAAGACTTATACCCACATGCATAGCCTCACCCCCATTCACAACTTACACTCAACACCCATACATATACCCATCCACATCCACGCTCTCAATTATCAGACCTAAACAGTTTATCGAATGATTTATTAAATCGAAAAACTGACTGATTGGTGTACAATTACGTAGTAATATTAAAGGGTAAAGTGTTCAGATAGAGCATTGCAGGAAATTCACAAGTGCTGGAAATATGTACATCTCGTATCTAAGACTTTCCCAACACGATGTATTGGAAATTTCCTATCCTGTTTTATTATATCGTATATGGAATTTTTTCAACCTGCTCTCATATAATATTTAAAATAGAAATGATTTTTCTGTTTGTTCTTATATAAAAGTATTTAATAAAGTTGTAATCTATTTATTCTTTGGTATATAGACATGTTCTAAAGAAATTTTTGTTCAATAATTTAATACTGATTTTTATTTTAATTCAACTTCATCATAATAATAGATACATTTTCACCCATTTGCGCATAAAAAACAAGTGAAGAGATTATAAGAATATCAGTAACTTCCATCGAAAAATTATCCCATAAACTTTTCTATGAAATATTTGGTTATCAAATATATTACGCATTTTCATATCGTTATTTTGTCTTGAACGACAATGAATACTTCAAGCTGAAATTGCCAATGAAGATATTAATCATACAGTTTGTACACAATAGAATATTAAACATATATGAATCCTAGCCAAGACTTAGTATTTTCAGTGAAGGATTTATAATTCAATATTCGACCAGACTTACAAATAAGATTTCCAAAGTTTATCTTGAGAAGATGAAGAATATTCAATAAAATAAAACATGTAATCGATAACGTTTAATTGAAATGAAAATAACCAGAATGAATATTTTGCCAATAACCTAAAATCTTTACTGGAATTCTTTTTAACAATATTTATTAAAAAAATTCAATGTGTTATATAGAGGGAGAGGATAGTTTACTGTTTATGATTCATCTTAGATATTCTGTACAGAAACGAAAAGAAAAAGAATATATTATCGTCCGTTCATCAAATAATCAACAAACATGTACACGCTTTATTTCGTTCTAGATATATTTATTTTATATTTTATCATCTAGATTTAGTCAAGAAACGTAAGTCACATACAAAAGAAAACAACATTTATTAATATTAAATTTTCATTTAGTATGTCAATAAATTCCATTGAAAATCTTTCTGATGAATTGTTTTATGAAATTTTCGATTATCTTAATGGTTGTGAAATCTATCATACTTTTTCAAATCTTAATTATCGTTTTGAACAATTAATCAATTCTTCATCACTTCTATTAAAAATTAATTCTTTACGTTCAAAAGAAATATTTATGAATAATTATCAACAAGTTTTACACCTCAATAAAGATCAAATATTTTCAATTCACTTATGGTTATCAGAAAATACTAATCAAATTATTTCATCACTTAATATCGATTCATCATTTATTCGTCTTGAATCTCTTATTTTTAATTCCATTGAACCAGATCTATTAAATACACTTCTTCCTAAATTGATTTATTTACCTCGTCTTTTCTCGTTAATAATCGATACCTGGTCTGCTCAAAAAGAGTTAGGTGATACCTATCGATTAATTTTCAATTTACCAAAATTAAAATATATCAAATATACAGCAATGGAATCTAATGATATTGATATAACTATTTCATTACCAATTGTTACTAATGAACAATTAACTTCTATTGAACATCTTATTATCGATCATCCTTGTGCTATCGATGAACTTTTTGCTATAACATCTTATACTCCACATCTTCGTCGTTTAAAATTTTTAAGTCTTACCGATCGAAATGTAAATATTAGAAATGTTAAACCAATTATATTACAAAATTTAATACATCTTTCTATTTATATATATAGCACAATGACATTTAATATATTTCAAATATTTATTAGTAATTTAAATTCGAAAATAAAATTTTTATCATTGACAACAGTGATTGAAGATATTAATTATCTTGATGCTAATCGATGGGAAAATTTTATTTTAACAAAATTACCTCAATTAGAAAAATTTTATTTTAAATACAGTGCATATTTAGAAGAAAATTATGAAACTCCAATATATCTTGGACATCGTGATCAATTTATTTCATCATTTTGGCTTCAACGACGATGGATATTAGATATTGAATTTGAATTTGAAAATATCATTTATTCAATACGTCCATATCAGTATATATCAAAAAGAAGTTTTTACACTGAATATATATATTTTTTTTGTTTTAGAAAAAGATGGTATGAATATGATACACAAAATATGATGATTAATTCTTCTGATGACTTATCAAAATCTATTCGACTTCGTCTAGATGATCTATGTCCTGAAAAATGGACAAAGACAATATACTTAAATGATTATATTAATTATACATTAACTTTAACACAAATTCATCATTTAGAAATTCATGCAAAAATTTTTTGTGATAAATTAATGGAAATTTTACATTTATTACCTGATATTATAACATTAAAAATTTTTTCTTTACCAATTTTAAAACAAGGAAATTTATCAAACGATGAAATTGAATTTCTTTGTATACTATTACCTAAAAATCAAATTCGAAAAATTTGTTTTGAAAATATGGAAGATGTGGATGAACTTTATATGTTACTTTTAATATGTTCACGTATAAATCATCTTCAAATTCAATGTATTAATTATACGCATGCTGAATTATTAATGGAACTTATTTTAACAGAAATTAAGGGTGTATCTAATTCTTTACTTCGATTATTATGTTTTTCTATTCCAGAAGCACATGATGAAATGATTGAAAAATTCGAAAAAATGATTGATAGAGAAAATGTACGTTTTGATTTTATAATTAAACATGTTATGGATAAAATCTATTTAAAATGGAAATAATTAGTAGATTATTTATTGTAATTACTTTAGTTTGAAATTGTTTAATAAAAAACTTTTATAACTTTGAACTCTCATATGTCTCTTAATAGATTTCATTCTTTCTTTTTAAATCGATCAATTGGATTAAAAAGGTATCTAATGAATTTTTCGATGACGTATTTGAATATTCTGATGATTATAAAATATTCAAAAACATTTTCAAATCTTAATCGTTGATTTCAATAATTAATGAACTATATATACGAATATTTACGTACAACTTTTACTTAACTTCTTAACTGTGATATTTTCTAAAATTACATAGTAAAATTTTTCCATAATAACTTTTAATGCACAAGATATACACACAAAAGAAGATTCAGTAATTGAATTAACTGTAATGGGCGAGCCAGAATAAAATGCACATTTTTTGTCTTTGTTTTTGAAACACTTTCAGTTGATCGAAAAAGCTACTTCTAGTCTCAATTAAGGGCTTCCCACTCAGAATAAGCCAATATTGATCAAATATGTGTGAATTCTCTGATTTATAGCTGGTTAGATAGAGCAAAGTGTTTACTCTCGAATGCATTACAGTTTATTGGTTTTATGATGAGATTTAAGAACATTACATAGGTTTTCTTCATCATTTTAAACGCTAGAAAGCTTAGCTTGGTATCAAAATTAGACATGTATTAAACTCAAATTGAACTCGGTCGAGCTCAGTGATAGATGAATAAACAACTACCTTTCTATATATATGAGGCACAGTAGTCGACAGAGACATACCGAACGCGAATCTTGTGAAATTTTAATATAAGATTGAACCAGGTTTGGACTTTGGATGGGTGTGGGTGTCGGAAAGAGTCAAAACAACACCCACTCTCATACTCACACTTACACTCACGCTCACACCCCGCAATACAATACTATTCCATGCATGCTGAGCATAGAATAAGTAATATCACATTTTGGCTAGATCGATTCATCGTTTTTCATTGATCATTGTTAGTTTAATGGAATTCGTTGAACTTCATAAATTTTCTATTAATGAAGTTTTTTGCTATCTTTCAGGATATTTTATTGAGTTTCAATACAAAATCATTGCAAATTTAACAATTTCATAAGAATTGAATGTCGTGAAAAAGATAGTTGCTCAATTCTATCTTCTCTTCTTTACCAAAGTTTAATTTCACTTTAACATAATCATTGACTTGTTCAGGCGTGGATATAGGTGTAACTGTCAGTTAAAAAGATATCTATACTCTTAACCCAGATTCGCAGTCGACGCAACTGTCAATTTGGTAATACTACAGGTTAAAATGTTTCCGCCCAGATATGTGGTATATAACTATCGCTGAACTATCAAACAAAAACCTTAGCAAGATGAACAACACTCTAATTCAAGCGATGCCAAACTAAAAACAAATCATCAATTTTAAGTCTTATGGATAAAATAAGGCAAAAAATTCATTATATCACTATAAATCTAACCATGAAAATCATAACTATAGAAAATAATTAGGATAACTATAGAGTTCAGTAATGATCAATAGTGACATGTCGATCATAAATTTAGAGAAATAAGTACAATCTCACATATATTAACTTATACACTGTAATATATAAACATCGAAGGTGACTATATAGCTGTTACTGACTTTTGACATTTCTTTCGTTGAAACCTATAACTTACACATATGTTCAAAGAGAATCAGAGTGTTTTCGAGATTCAAAAGTTACAAGTTGAATTGATTTCAGCTGTCAATTTCGACTTATATAACTGTTCCCTATGATTTACAGTTTCTTTTATTAAAATCTATCTTTATTACGATGTGTTATTGCTGAATAGAGTCTTTCATAAATTGTAGTGAATCATCAGATAGAATAAAGCATGAAAGCAAATACGATCACTTTTTTGTTGCCAAAACTATTTCCGTTTATTGTATTGAAGTGATTCCTATGCATACTTCCGTACGACGATGTTCATAGACCTTATATATCATTCCGGAAATGTGGATTACAAGTATCCATTGAAAAATCATTTCAAAAGCTATCATAAAATAAATCATCAGATTCTTATCAAGAGTTTTTGTTTGGATATAAAGTGAAAAAACAGAAGTATGTTTGATGAAAGAAAATCGTCTTATATACAGTAAAGAAACTTTTTAAAGTTAATCCCTAAAACATAATGAATATTTTTTATTTTCATACCTAAATAAATGTTGATAATCAATTAACTTTATAGAGATTCTTTTAGTTATAAAATAATAGATCGTAGTAAAATATGCTTATTATTCATAATTTCCCTTATTTCATATTGAATAATGTTTTCTATTCTATTAAACATTTTAAATAGGATTAATTTGAAAGAATTTTTAGAAAAAGAATCGATCTTTCTTGTGTGACGAAGAGAGAATATCCTAATTCTTATTTTGACTTTAGAATATATGCTTCCATGCATTTTGATATGATAATAGATACAATTCATTGTAGGTGTGATGAATCTTTTCTCGTTTAAGCATGAAGACTCACTTGAACGACATATCTCCTGATTTAGGTTAGTTTTTAGAAGATCTTTTCTTTTTGAGATACTTATCATAAACAATTAAAAGATCGAGTCGATCACTTCTTTTTGATGAAAAGAGTTAAGAAATTAAAGACCAACACATCAGTCATTACTTCTAACTTGATTAGAATTTGTTAAATAACAAAAAAAGTTACTCCATAGAAGAATTTAGCGCTGTATAAAAAGAAAAAATCTTTACTTCTACAACATGATTGTCCAAGAATTAGCCATATCCTTCTGTACTGAATAGTTAAAAAAATCAGTGGCTCTCTTCTGTATCCCTTCTCTGTTTAACTTTGTTCCCATCAATTACGTTTTTATTTTTCGTTTTCATTTTTAGTTCCGCTCATCGATTTTGGAATCCGATTCACACTATGTATTATTACTAAAGGTCAACATCCGGACGCATAGCATCACATCTACTTTGTTTTAATCACTGTTTTACATCGCATGATCTGTTGTGATGAATGTGATTTACAATAATACTTTGCCCATATTGTATGTCAAACAGTATTCAAGAAATGCTTAATTGCTAACCACTTATTTACCTGCTGTTTAACTGATTTCCTTGCAATCTTATTTTATGAATCATCCTGCTAAAACATCTAGACTACAAAAATCTCAATGTTCCATGATTGTTGTTGAGAAGAGCAGTAATGTATGCACATGTCTCGCGCTTCTTGCAACTATTTCTACGCTTTGTCATGCTCCTCAAACAAATATACAGAGATGTGTTCTTTAAATAAAAATGTATTTGGGTCAATATCGTCTTTTTAAAACGTTACTCTTTGAGCATACGTTATAGTTTAAGATTTTATTTATTGTTTCCGTAAAAATATTTGTTTTCGTCTGACTTCGAAAAATGAATAATTGAATTCAACTTCCAGATTTGACATTACTGATTACTTGTAAAGTAATACTTTTCTGATATAATTATATTCAAACCAAAATTATACAAAAAAAAGAAGACGTCTACTACAATACAATACGAATTTAACTAAATTGATTACGTTTAAGCATCTTATTGATAAGTGTGTATAAATAGTAGATATGATTGTTATTAGAACGGACAGGAAGAAAAAGATATACCTTATTATGCTGCAACATATCGATGCAATGTTGAGTTCTACTATCACCGATTTCATTATATTTTAAGTTCAATGTAGTGAGTGTCTATGTCCGATAGTAAATATGAATATAGAATTGGTATATGAAGAATAAAACTTACTCTATTCTCTTGTAAAGCGTCAGCAAGATGTTGTGTTCCAGTGTACCCAATTTTATTACGCTTGAAACTCAATGTGGTAAGCGTCTATCTCCAAAGAAATTGAGTTTAAGAAAAGTGAAAAAAAAAGAGAATCACCATATTGCTTCGCAAGACATCAGCAAAGTGTTTCGCTCCTATATCTCCAATTTCATTGCATTCAAATTCTATCATTTTAAGTGTCTGATAGAAGTAAAGGAAACGATAAATATGAAAGAGATAAAGAAAGAGGTATACTATGTTACTTCGCAATGCATTGGCAATATGTTCTGCTCCTTCGTAACCGATTCTATTGCATTGAAGACCTAGTACAATGAATGCCTACTTGCAGTCAAGAAGATAGATACGAGTAAGATTGATAGTAATAGTGAATTTGACTCACCTTGTTCTTCTTTAATGCGTTGCCGAGATGTTGTGCTCCAATATCTTTTATTAGGTTGTGGTCACGATCAAAGTCTCCTCTCTATATAGAACAAAAAAAACGAAGAATGCAAGAAATGATGCAACCAAATATCGAAAGAATTTCATTTTGATTTACAAGCCGTACCTCAGTTGAGTGACGATATGAACAAGTACTACCACCAAGAAATAGTTCAGTGAGTGTCTAAAAGTTAAGAAGAATAAGGGATGGTGAAAAGATTCAAAGAAAATGAAGATTACTGTATTATTTAGTAAAGATTTTGCAAGATATTCTGCTCCAGTAGGACTGATTACATTGCTTGATAAGTTCAGCGAGGTGAGTGTCTTATATGTGTAGAAAATAGTCATACAAGAAATCAGAAGAGTATAACAAATACCGTGTTATCTCGTAAAACATCAGCAAGATACTGTGCTCCTTCATATCCAATTTCATTATACTCGAGGTTCAATGAAATGATCGTCTATGCCGAAAGAAAAAGATACAGATAATGTTAGTTTAGAAAATATGAGATTCATGTTGTTATTTCTTAAAACATTAGCAATATGTTGTAATTCTTTGATTCCAATTTTTGCTTGAGCCAAATCGACTCTAGTTAAGGCCTGTGTACAGAATGAAAAGTTGATAGAGAAGATCAATAGAAATAAAAAGAATTACTTTATCATTTAGGATTTGCACCACTGTTCCAACTACCCGACAATATCCGTGAGCTCTACCAGTAAGTGATAGTTTTAAGAGTGTCTGTATATAAAGAAGTACTTAAGCATCAGAGA